ACAACTTTACAAGAGAACTCATACAAACAAAAAACACTTAATCAGACTGCAGGGCTATCAAGAGAAGTGGCTTTGACTCTGTATCATCAATATAACTGGAACAAGTGACACTTTCTCAAAAACACACTGACGAGTTTAAGCTCAGTTAAAAGCTGAGAGGATGCATTTATATTACCTTTTTGTTTGTGAGGACTATTGAGAAAATGAGTCTCTGTTTTGCATAAAACGTTTTTGTGTGTCAGTATTGTGAGTTATGAGAAGTCATTGTTATATGTGTGTCTAACGTACTGGTACGGTGTTGTGTGTTGCAGGAGCTGGGACCAGACTGAGTCTAATTTAAAAGATCCTCCCCAGACATGTTTTTAAATTACATGGAATTAATCTGCTTTGAATACCATTTTCTGTCTAAGATTGGTTGCGCTGTCCTTCATTAATATCTATGAATATGCAAATGACTTGGACAAAGGATGCTCGTGCTTCACCAGGAAATTAATTGCCTCCAGTGTACCAATGCCAACATTCTTCATCTGAGTCTTCCTGACACCTTTTTCCTTGATCAATGGCTGCAAAATGTGCGTCAACACTTCCATTTCCAAGTCAAACATAAAGTAAAAGCTTTGATTTCTACCTTTTCAGGTTTAACTCCACTTCATTCTTACACCGCCCAACTCCGTCCTACACAGGGTCTTCATGTCATCCTCATTCAGGATGACTACAGCCCCACTGGATAAAAGCAATGACTACCAACAGTCAGGTTTCAGCGAGGGACCATCATACTTCCACCATTCATTGAGAGCTTAAAAACCTGCACTGTAAAAGTACTGACATGATACATTTTAGGATACGATTCACACTACAAAAAAGGGTCTTTCAGTCTTGCATGTTCATTTGAATGACATTTTACCAGACGCTGTGATGCGAGGACAAATACTGCATACTCAAAAGGAAATACATGTGTTTGGGACTTTAAAATGAGCTTTGTGACTCAAGAAAACTGGTAAGCCAGCTCATTGTTAGGTGGTGCTTGTTCGCAAAACAACTGAATCACACCAATGGTGGGACAAGAGAGAAAAACGGAGTGATCTGTGAGTGGAGCGCTGCCTGGAGCTCTCATGGATCAGAGTGTTTATACCTGACGGCATCTGAAAGTGGGCCAGAGGCTAAACCTCTATCAAAGCGTTTGTTGTACTGCCTCACTTCAAACGACACATGAGCGCACACACACACAATCACACACATATTTAATTCACATACAAAAACACCTTATACTTAAAACAAAAAAGGGCAACCACTTGAAATGCGTAAAATGATGACTTTCCCTCTAATCCTGGAGGCCAGCCCCTTCAGAAGTAAACGACCTGACCCAACCACATGGACATAAAGCCCAAGGTAGGATTGATGTGCGCTCGGCGAGTCCTGCGGAAGCGTTTGAATGCGGGCTGCAGAGGGATTTGTCAGTTTAACGGGAGCTGACACGAGGAGAATGAACTTGAACACTCGCAGGCTGCTTTCCCTGCCTGAGCTTCCAGGGAAACCCTGTCGTGAATCCAATCCCTCCGCTCCGTAGAATACACACACTCTCGTGTAATAAAAACACGCATGGGTTCTAACGCAAAGGCACACGCATCTTATTCCACCCACTTATCCTTGCACGATCTGTCAAACTGTTAAGAGTGATTAATGTGTCAGATTAAAAAGCACTCAAATAAAATACATCGTGTACGTGGGAAAGCAACTACACACACACTTCCTCCAATGACCTAAGAGTAGGGGTCAATGCTGAGATCTCGTTGTTTCAGTGATTTCACGCCGTGTTGCTTTCAATCATGGGCTGCAATGAAATGTCTTATAACTCTAACGTTAATGGGAACCACAGCCTGTTAAACAGCTGAATAATTTGGCTTTGTTACTGACTTACAGTAGGACCCAAAATGGTGCTCAAAATCTTGCTCTGGTGAGTCGCCAAGTGAAAACTTAACAGGTTTCAAGTGGCTTGGGGCCTAAGGTGACAACATTTCTCAAGTGGGATAAAAAACTCTGCACTATTGCCTGCCCGTTAAATATTTACCATTAATTGAGACTGCCTTAGTAACTACCCAATCACCCAAACATTTGTGTGTGCATCCGACCAGCAGAGAGCTTAATGAGGCTGCTCTGTAACTGGCTGAGTAAAGCAGAAACAGAACAAGACATTTTGTTGGTCGTGCTGGCAGATATGCCCCCCGGGATAATTGCTTGGCTAAAACGCTGCAACTTTGTCCCAAAAATTGGAAACTTGGCAGTCAGTTTTCTCTCTTAAAGATAGGCAGAGATGATTTGTGGTTGGTGTTTTGCCTTATTATGATAAGAAAGCAGCTGCCTTGATGAGTAAACCCATCTGACATGACATCTGTTTTTATTGAAATTCAATACCTCTGCCAACATGAAGGCGGCATAGGCGGAGGTCTGTGCTTTCAGTGTCATGCTAGTTTAGTTACATATCATTTAGTTGAATAATTTAAAGAAATCAAGTCACAATATAATAATTCAAATGAAATAAATATTACCTCAATACAACTTACAGTCCATATATGCGTGATGTCAGTAGTGATCTACATAAGGATGTAATGGGAAAGAAAAATGTTTGCTGTAGGAAGAGCAGGACTTTGGTGCAGTAGTTTTGCGACTTGTGCTGGTTTCAAACTAACTATGTAATTGAACATGTCATACAGCCATTTCTAAATGCATGAATGATAGCCTTTTACTCAAAGGCTAGACAAACTGCCGACGGTGGCAGCCCAAATATATTTCCAATAATTCAGTTCAGTCTCAACGTTATAAATTAAACTTGAAAATGGAATTACTATTAAAAAGATGAAATATAGCATTCTTGTACTGATTCATTCGGAATATTGTGGAGCGCTTCATGTTATAATCATAATCTAACTCACTTCTGTAGAATTAGGTAAAACTATGATTAATGTGGATATGGCATAGTCAGTGTTATGAAGTTGGTGTCTTTGGTGACGTGCCAGAAAGAATCACAATCAGTGCACAGTGTTGGGATCCCCGAGAAGTGATATCCAAAATCCAACCTACAATTTGCAGTTATCACCACAGTGCAGCCAAGTAGTCGAAACCCCATTGGGATTGGAACTTTAAGAGAAACTCAAACTGTGCCTACTGTTGCAAATACGCACGACAGGTAAATGGCTGTTTAAAATGGTTTGCACTGTGTATTTCAGAAGTTGAAGGAATGTTTGGGTGCTGCGTGCTGGCATCCCGATATGCTGGTAAAAAGGGGTTTCCAAATGCTTTAAGTCATTCCAACAAGCACTGTTTATCAGTTAATTTTCCCAATATTCAAACAATATCATGATCTTTCCTTGGAGTAGCCAGGAGAAAAAAAACACAAACTAGTAAAAGTATTATCATACACAAATGTTGCCAACTTGATGCAGAGCCCAAAGTTATCAAGGCAACAAGTAGTGTAATAAACATCATGCTACGCTCACTCTCTGCCGTCATCCCCCACAGTAGCATCAATCAAAAATACAATTACTGTACACTTGTGAATACTACTGTAAATCCCAACAACAGCTACTACGCTGCTATGAAAGCCGAGCCAAACAGCTGCTCCTCCAGACAGAAACATTTCCCTGGTTATATATAGAATACTACTAGTGACATGTTTTGACAGGACGACGAGCAGATACTTTTAGTGAGCAGTATCAAATCTCTAACACTATGACAACGCACAAACACGTAAACTGCATGACTAGCATATTAGCGTTGGAGCTCAACATACTGCTGACAGCTTCCAAATAGAAAACCAGTATTGGAGGCTATTTCTAACACTTACACAGGCTTGGTGTTAACTTGATTTTACTGGTGGTTAACAGGCACGTTTATTCAAACCACGGTAAAGATAGTTTCAGTACTCCAGGATATCTTGTGAATTAGACAGCCTTAAAGAAATAAAACTAGAATATCTGAAAGCTTGTGTAAACTTTGGATATCCTTTGTTACACTCAGGGGTCAGCCTGACCTGGAGCGACAGGATGGATGTTTAATTTCCTCCCAGGTTTTCAAGCCTCAACGTGAACAGACTATATTTTTGTGGACCTCTCTTTCCTCAAGCTCTGGGCCACCAATGAACTTTCTTTCTTATTTTCTTCTCCCTTGTTTGGTGAAGTTGACTGCCAACTGGGCTGCAGGAAAGTCAGCCATAAAACATTAAAATAGCTCTTTAAAAGCAGTGAGTCACCTTAAACAACTACAGTATGTCTTGTTTTTACAAATTAGTCAAAAGCCTGTCTAGGTAAATATGTGTGTTTTTAGCTGAGCTTCAAACTGGAGTTAACATGCTGAAAGCAGGATTGAAAACAATATGGAGCATGCTTGGAAGATGCAAGAAAGTCAGATATTAGCACATACAATAAAGTAGTAATGAAGGAAGACGATCAATGTTGCCCTTTGACTGAGTGTTTTATAATCTGCGGATTAGAAAAACTCTGTATTGTGGCGAATGCTTCTGGCATATAGAAATGACAGCCTCCTTAAAAGGTACAGTAACCAACGCTCACAATCTTGCCTCCAAACTGGTGGTAAACATTGTGATTTACCAGCTAGCACACATTATTGAGTTATAGTCATTCTCAATGTACAGTATGCCCTCTTGCATTTACAAGAATATGCATCCCTAAGTTTAAATATTCCATTAAATATGAAATTTGACCAAATGTTGCCCTTTATCCTCAAATAAAGGACCAGTAAAGCTGACACTGCTATGAAGTCAAACATATACAAAAATAATTGCCAAATTAAAAAACATCTTAAACCATTTTTAAACTGACCTGAAATACGTTCTTGAACTAGCAAGTTCAGCTTTCTGGTTTTGTAACTGTGAATAGCCACAGCAGTGCCATGTTGCTGCCACACATGGAGAGAAATCCCTAGGAGGTTTGAAAAAAGCTGTGTACAGATAAACAAATATATTGTTCCAACTCTGGAGGATTTACCTTCGTCTCCACTGGGTTAACGTCAGGCGTCTTGGCTGTGGCGTCTAAATCAGTCACCCCTCTATTGGGGTTTAACTCCTCCGCTGACGGCACCTGTGCCGGCTCTTCTGCATCGATATCTGTCTCCTCGGCGACGGTTGCCGGCTCCTCCACGGCCGTTATCTCCCGAGCTGGGCCGAGGAAAGTACACACACATACAGGTGGATAAGCACGCACGCCTGCATTCACACATGTAGGCATGAGCATGGCCACACACACATGGGCAGACACACATGAATACATACAGTAAGAAACGTTATCCAAGAAATTGCAGAATACTCTATGCATGCCAATGTGATTCAATAAGATTGTAGGCTTTATACATAATGTAAATGTTCACAGGTACACCTCGAGCAATTGAAAGCTTTAATACAATGCTAATTCAACAACATGTTATTGTTCAACACTCTTGTTACCTGAGAGTTTTATTATGAGTTTTAAACAGCATTCATTACCGTTATAGATTTTTAATGGGATAAATTGGACCGGATTGGACACAGGTCCTTTTATCCCTGAAGCAGATATCATTAAAGAGGCCCTATTATGCTTGTTGATGATTTTCCTTTCCTCTAGAGTGTTATGTAGGTTTTTTTCATGTACATTTTCTGCGAAGGCTAAAATCGCAAAGTTCCTTCCAGGGAGAGTTTCTCTCCCACACACTCCCCCCCTGCCTGAAGCGCCTCCATTGGTCTCCTTTATTTACCTTGGTAACATAATGAGATCACTATGTTACACTCTCACTTCTATCGGCTAGCACTTCAACACATTGTTCATGATAGACAAAGGGGCGGGAGGTTTCCGACACATGTCAATCAAAACAGCCGGACAAGCTAAGCAATCAGAGCAGACTGGGCTCTGGTTTAAGACAGAAGGTGAAAAGAGGTGCTGCAGCACAGGCAGCTTGAGAAAAATAAAGACCTTTTTAACATTAAAGCATGTAAACAATTTGACTAAATAGATCCTGAAAACCGTGTTAAATTCTTAAGAGAGTTTGTTTTCTTCAGAAGACTGAATTGTTTTTAAAAAGGAGACAAAATCAATGCAGTTAAGCATTCTTACTATTCTTCTTCTGCCCTTCACACGTGCTTGTTGTAATAAGAGTTTTTAATTATCTCTGGCCATAGAAACACCCCTTCAGCTTAGTAAAACATGCCGTTTGTACCAGATCAGTACATTGAACCCCATACATTATTCAATACACTCCAGTCTACAAATGGAGTTATCCGACATCTACAGTACCAACTAAAAACATAGAAAATTATAATTTCAAACGCTGTAACAGTCCCATGTTGATGTCACTAAATAGATGCTGAAAACCCTCTCAGAATCTTAGAAGTGTTTTTTACTTCAGCAGTTTGAATATTTTACTATTTCTATTTAGATATTCCTTGCCAAGCAATCCACGAGACAAACAACTGTAATACTGACTGTCACAGTTGGAAACACTTGGTCCCCCTGACTACAGAGCCTGAGGTTGTATATCATAACCACACTCAATTCAAAGTAAATGGTACAACAGGGGAGATGTAGGTGCCATGGGGTTAGTTATGATGCGTTTTCTAGGTTGAGCACAGTTATTGACGGCCCACTAGATAGAATTGCATTTGCTTCCTGGCAACTTGGCTATACTAGAAATAATGTATGATTGCATTCAGAGCCACTGGGAGAGTGCTCGCTTCAGTGGCCAAAATATTTCCACAGAGAATAGATGGCAGTAACTAACAACCACTCGAGGCTGCCTCTCAAACAGCAAGTTTTATTACAAAAGTAATCATCTGTAACCAAAAAAGAAAGCATCTAAGTGGGTATCATTACTGACTTAATTTGCTAACTGTTATGGGTTTATTTGTGCATACGACAAAATCATATATTAAATTGAAGTACTGTAAAGAGCATTTAATAAAAAATAATACTCCGCACCAAATTTAGTACAGTAACTATTGGCTGCAAATATCTCAGATACAAAATGAATCAGGATGATGGGGTATCAAGTAAATACATCTGGATGTATTGCAATACTGTAAATAAAGCAATTTGCAATATTTAAATAATATTATATTAGGAAAACAGTCGTGGTATAAACAACACATGTCTATATGCATACAATCTGGTTAAAAACTTTTTTAAGTCATCAGAACAGTACACAGTCCCTGTAACACAATATCAAAGCACTAGGGGACACACACTGATAGCAAAAGCTAACAAGTGCTGAGTGAGTTAATCTTTTATTCTTATTCACTACATCATGTTGTGTGAATCCTCATGATTGGCCCAAGGATTCTTGAGGTTTGGCCAAACACGTGTTTTGTAAGGCCACACTGACCTTCAACCACCAGATTCCCGTCAGTTCAAACAGTATTTGAGTCCAAGTTTATTTTGCAAGGATTTCAAAAACTCAAGGCATTCCTGAGATATTTGTATCAATAGAATGGGATGTATTTGAGGTGAAGGTGGCCTTGACCTTTGAAGCAAATATAACCAGTTTATCCTCCAGGTGGAATGTCCTCCACTGATATATCTAGTTTACAATAATTCAGACATACACACAACCTGGAAACATATGCCTTCGGCCACTAGTCTTGCTTGTACAGTATGATGACATGAAAACTATTTGGTCAGTCCTCTAAAGCTAGCAAATTATTGTATCAATAAACATCAAAAACGTAAAGGCAACCATTTGTGGAGGTACCGGAGTTACATCTTGAACAATTCTTTTTTTAAACAACGGTTTGTCCATTTGCCCAACTTCTGTATGCAGCATCTACACTGGGAGTAATGTTTTAGATTTAACATTATTCCATGTTGGATTGTCATTGTTTTTTTCATATACAATCCATAGACTGTATTTGGAGTCATCTCTTCAACTAGACTATAACTCCCAGTAGCACCTCATAATAAAAGGAATAGAAAATTAGGTCAAGTATTTCAACTGCGACATGTCTGTTTATTTTGTTCGGCCGCACATTTGACTAAGCTTTATTGGAGGTCGACGCAGTCCAGATCTGATCAAGTTTTCACAGTACAGTCTGTATCCGCTTATTTCCTACACCTTCACTCTTTTCTTTTATGTCTTTCCTCCTAAATGCCGCTTCAGTGCTCCTGGCCTTCAACTGTTCACTTCAACTGTCTATCCCGCGTCCACGTTCGTGTTCAACCATCTCTTCTTCCATTTAAACTCCCCCTTCTTCCTCCTGTGCACCCTGCCATTAGGGCTGTCCTCCCACCTCCACTTAAATGTCATGCTTGACAACCTGCTGCCAGCACTACCCTTAGCTATTTCGCCATTAGCATTCCTCTTCCCCATCCTTTCTACCCGGCTATCAGGGCTTTGCAGCATTGCCCTTCCTCCCGTCCTCTGCTGCTGACATGTTTTCCCCCTGTTGTCTTCCTTTTCTTCTCACTTGTATTCTCAGGTTAAAGTTGCTTTTAATGGAAAAGCCCAAAGATAATGACCCAGTTCCTTTGTGGAGTGATCTGTTTTGCTACATGGCAGTACCACACTTACTTTAAGCTTTTATGAATACAATTTGTTTCACAATTTCAAGCTTTGTTTTCTTATGTTTTGGGCTCTGGCGCTATCGTGAATGCTATAAAGTGTTTTTGACATCAGGCTTTCATTAATACTGTAGGTTATGTGTCACATACAGTATATTGTCAATCCTCTTGTTTCTGGTGCATCACCTTTGATTGGTATATCATTCGTCGAGTGGAGATAAACAACCAACATAGGAAGAGAACATGTGTACTTACATGCTACAAAAGTCAAGATTATAATGTTAGAATAACTGATGTCTGCAATATTATATAGTTACTGTTATGCTAATATGAAACCTGTGATACATGTTTTTGGTGACTTTGCAACGTCTATAAACAACATCTAACCATATGCATGTTAATAGACTGGCCATATAAACATTTTTTGTTCAGTAATGTTTTTGAATTAAAATTCTCAATATTGCTTCTCTTTCATGCTTCCCGTAGGCTTTAATTCAGTGTTCAGCACTTAGTGATCACTGAGCGGCTGAATGGAACCACACGCCCATGGCAGCGTTATGGCCAATATACATTTTGACTGTAATGTTGGTATAACAGTTCCACAGTTTGCTATTATTATGAGTATCAGCTTCAGTGATGTAAGCCATTGTTACACATATTACAGTAGTTTGTTAAAAATATCGAATTGCTCATTGGCGTTGCGGCATTCTGTACAACTGCTCTGAATACAGATGAATTTTCTTTAGCAACAAAACATCACTTTCTCTCTCATTTCGATTCCTGCTCAATCCATCTCATCTTTTTCTCTCCAATTAATTTCAACATTTCATCTTCCATGATCTGAAGTCCCTTTCTCCCTTATTATCCATCTCTTCTTTCTCATGCATTCTTCCATTTTCCATCCCTCTAATTCCTCTATCTCCTACATTTCTATCCCTTCTCATGATAATTAGTTCTCCAGAAAAGCTCATTGGCTTTGCCTGACGGCTCTCGTGTGGCTTAGCACACTGTGACAGCAAGTGTGTGTGTAGGGTTGGGATTGTATGAAAGTGGGGTCCAGTTATATTACGTGTGGACATACAGTTATAGTGAGTGGCTGATCTTTAGGCTCATCAGCATGTGAAAGAGAGCTCCTCTCTGGAGGTATCCTAGTATGGTGCTATTAGATCTGGTTGGGGAGGGTATCTGATGCTGGCTGCAGTAAAGACTGGAACGAGGGTGTGGAACAGCTCTTAATATGGGATCTTCCAACGGCTGAACTCACAGAGCCACGTGTCCCCGGGATGCAGTGAAGCCCACCCTGTCCAGGCACGAGGCAGAGGATAATAGCAGCTAAGCCCATCAGTGTGGCCTTCTTTCTTTGAGTTGACTCATCCGTAGCATTCACTCCAGCACCGCCCTTTCCTGCTGGCCAACTCGGGCACAAGGCAGGCGAAATTAAGCACAACTGTGTGTGGAGCGCGTCTACGAGACAATCTGAAGAAATATGTGAAAAGTGTAAAGGTGTGTGTGCACTGGGGAATGTTCCGTCTACACTTTAGCTTTTGCAGTCTCCCTTTAAATCAATTTTGTAGTATGCCTCAAAGTGGGGCCCCAAAAAGATGGGGTTCTAGCATGAGCAGGTCTAGTTATTAACGATGAATAATATTATATAAGTCAGGTAGGATAGGGCACTTTCAAGTGGAGACACATAAAGTGGTTTTGGATTTTCAAAATAAAAGAAGATTATGTGAAATTAGGATCCATGACTCAGTTGCCAAAATATGAAAACCCAACTCCTTCTGGAACTCCAACCTCCTCTCTGTCCTGAACACAAAACCTACGACCATCACCTAAAGTGGCTCCTATAACGCTCATGTTCAGTGTCATATTTGTATTGTGTGCCTCTACTGTCACATTTAACATAATATGTTAAAAGGAAAAAGAGCCACATACAGCTTAATGTTACATATTATGTAACATTAAGCTGTCTGTGGCTCTTTTTCCTGCTGTAACAACGCATGTCCCCTCCGTGGGACTAATAAAGGTATTCTGATTCTGATGTCTCCAAGCTTTAATGTTCAAAACGGTCCTTATTTTTCTCATACTGCCTTCGCAGCAGCATCTCTTTTCACCCTCTGTCTGAAACCAGAGCCCAGTCTGCTCTGATTGGCTGGCCGTCTGTATTTGATTGGTCTACTGCTTAGAGATGTCTTGCCCCTTATCACGTACAATGTGTTGTAATGCCAGCCAATAGAAGTGCAGGTGTGGCATGGTGATGTCATTGTGTGACGGAAGTAAAAAAAGGAGTCCAATGGAGGTGTTTCAAGTAGGGGGGGGGTAGGTGTGTGTGGGAGAGAAACTCCCTCTGGAGGGACCTTTGGAATTTTAGCCTTTGCAGACTATTTACATGCACAAAAACCTGTTTAACACATTGCAGGAAAGGGAAAACCCAAAAAGCATAATAGGTCCCTTTTTAACTTTTTTTTGCAGTTCTACAGTATCTGTAACGATAACATCATTCAACAAAACAATTGCTGTGATTATCATTGTGGTGAATCTAAGAAATAATTTCAATGACATGTCAAATATGAGCTGTCAGATAATAAGCCAGGTGTTTATCACTGCCATCAGCGCTCTACACCGTGTGTCCTTCAATAATTGAGCATTTCCACAAAGCACGCATGAATCACCAGTTGTTTTGTATAAGAGGGGTTAGGAAATGTTACTGTGCAGAACAAAATGCATAAAGTCTGGCATTAGAAATAGCCGTCAATGTAAGGGGGTAAGGTGTAAGAAGAACAAGCCGTAAGCGCTTCATCTTTTGTTAAAGGCAAACACATTTCATGGTTTTCAACAAGTGATGGAGGGCTTTGAGGCAGTGCTTAACATTTAAACACAATGCAGCCGTGTGAGGGTGGGATACAGACTGTGTGTTTGTGTACCTGTGATGGAGGAGTCGTTGCCGTTCTTCTCACTGTGACAGTCCTCCTGTCCGTCTGCGTTCAGCTGTGTGTGATGCAGACTCAGTTTATGACAAACCTCGAACGCCTGGCCGACTGTCCGAACAATACGCATGGCCTGACTCTGTGTGGGAGAGAAAGACAAATAATTAAATATATATATAATTGTCAGGACACCAATTGAATCATGCCATTTAGTTAAATGGCAGTACCCATTTCTGTGCACTGTTTTTAGAATTTATTTACATTTTTGTCATTTTAGGGGCGACAGTAGCTCACGGGACTTGGCTTAGGAACCATTGGGTCGCCAACCTAAAATACAGAGTGTGGGCTGGTAGCTCGAGCGGTGCAAGTTCTCCTTGTGGTCACTGGCACAGTACCCACAGTACCCTTGAGCAAGGCATCAAACCCCTAACTGATCCCTGGTGCTGGAACACTGGCAGCCCATTTGCTCTGCCATCTCTCTATTAGTGCATGTCTAAAGTTCCTATTTGTGCGTGTTTGTGTATTTTGTGTGTATAATTGAATAAAAACACCAACATGAAGAACATAATTTCGGTTTGGGGATTAATAAAGGTGATCTTAATTTTAATCTTATTTTCATTAGATTCCTTCGACTAAATTTGAGTTATGTAGGTGATACTCTTTCCTTTCATTTCTATCGTTATCGTGCAACCAAGATCTAACGAAAACCAGTAAGGTAAGTGTATCATTTTCTGTGCCAGGGAATCTTTACAGGAAATGTTAAAATCCAGATGTTTTCCACTAGTGTTGAATGCAGACTGAAAGCAGATTTGCCCCAGAAATATTTGCATTTTATATCAAATAATATGCAGAAAATGTAGCTTCAAAGGATCTATTCGAGTCCCAGAGTCCAACAATGTACACCACACATATAAGTCTCAGGTAGAGCACGTATTCTGTGGGCAAACTCAGTGGAACATTATTTACTTTTTTTATCGGGAATGTTCCTTTGTCCTCAGGTGCAAAGAGCTGACTGTGTCTGCTTATCTCTTTCCGCCATGCTCTGAAAAGGCAGGTCAAGTGTAAACAACTGTGCTTACTTCTGTCTGCTATCAGTCCTCTCTTGTGTTGCTTGTCGCAGAGAGGTGTAGAGGCAGAAGAGATTTCATTTTAAAGCACCGAGGCCTAGCCGCCAAAACACCGCTCGTCCTCAGCTGAATGAGCAGAACAGATGTAGTCTGACCTAAAAGCCAGAACAAAATGAAGACATCCAATCCGTATTTTTCACAGCTCAACTTTGGCCTAGTCTGAAGTCTCAGTGCGGATTGCATCAGGACATTATGTGACCCTGGGCTCAGTATCAGAAGACAAATCAAATGTATTAGGCACATTTGGGTATGATATTACATTAAAAACTTAAACTGGTTATGGCAGAGTCTCAAGTGCTCAGCATGGGCTTTAGTCCAAATACATTTATGGTTTTGGGGTCAGAAAAACGCTACAGATACTAAATTTCTGTATGGTAGGGAGTTTTGGCAGTAGTGTGATTCAATCAAAACAGGCTTTTTTAGCTTCATTTAGTGCCTATGGTGTTTCCATAGTGACTAGCCAGCAACTGCCCGTCTCAACCGACAGAATGCATGTCCTGATCTGAAAAATGTGCCCACACCGAACCTACTTATAGTTACAGCTAGTAGGTACAAACAGTCAAGGTTTTCCACTTGATGCGTTTAGTCAGCTCGGTAAAGTGACAGCACATGGTCACTTAAAAGATGTCAAGTATATTTTATAACTACATTTCAAACTAATTATATTTTACAAGATTATTCCTATTCCCAACGAACCAATCTAACAGGGGATATTATTCAGGAATAATTCCATGATGTGATGACGATTACACCCAAATGCATGTCAGGGTGTTTGACTCAATACAATTGATTGATTATTAAAATAACCGTTGGTAGCAGGCATGGCAACAAGCACCATTTTAGAGGTATCAACTGACCTGTGTTGTAACAGACAGTAAAACACATCAGTTTTAAATTACACAAATTCAAACTGTGACCTTACAAACATCTAAATGACAGAAAACTAAATATGGAGCATTAGCGTGGGAGAGTCTCACCAAAAACATACTTTATACAGAACAAGATCAAATCTAAATTAAATCTAAACCAAATTCAGACTAAACCATCGTTGGTTCTTTACTTTTTATTCCTCTGAGATCTTTCTTCTCTCTTTTTCTAATTTGATCGCAAAAAGCATTAATATCCTGAAACAGATAAGACCGGCGGTCGCTGTACCAGCATTTAAAAAATATAAGATAAATCAGTGTCACTTGTAAATTGTTGTTAAAATAAACATCAAATCAGGCTTTAGCTGACAGAACAAAATATATAAAAAAGATAGTGTTGGATATCATAATGCAGAAGCAATCAGAAATGGCTACCTGCAATAAAACCTTTATATAAATGACTCTCATCCCTTGTTCTTTTTCTCTTCGACCCACTTGCTGTTTTGTTCCTCTCCATCTCCTCCATCCATCAATCACCCCCCCATATCTCCTTCTCTTTGAACACCCTGTTCATGTCTGTTGACTCAATGCTGGTACTTAGTGTGACAGTAAACACTTGTGTTCCTTTTCCAGAGGCAGTTCAACAGGTAATGAGGACAAATGCTGGAGTAATTGCACACAGTGGACACACCAAAGGATCAAGCTCCCCTGACTCATACACTCACTGATTGACGAACACATCAAACATAAAGCTACGCAGGGTTTTCTTTCCCTCATCACTCTGTCCGACTTGCATTCTCAGTTTGATTGAATCTTAGTCAAAAGGGCAGCAATGTAACTGGTAACACAAGAACATCAAACAGACGTTGTTTTGCTCAAAAACTAACCTTTTTGCTCTGCGGAGAAAAAGGTGAATGTGGGGTATGAATCAGAGGAAAGCTTTAAGAGATATGCATGACTGGGGGGGATGTAGCAAACAAAAAATGCATATTGTCGTTAGGTAGTTTGGGTCGAAAACTGCCATACCATAGAGTTTATTCTTTATTGCTGATCTTTACGCGAGAGAAAATAAGATTAGAGTCGATCATAAGCAAATCATTTCTTGTCTGTGAGGACATTGGTTCCAACACTTTTGACCTCTTGAGGCCATGAGAGTAACTAACCGCTGTCCAAAAAGGAATAAAGAGCATAATGCCTTCAGACATTTTACCCATCTGAATAGGATTACTATGTTGGCAAGGTGTTAATGAAATGAAATGAAACACTTTGCTGATGGATTGCTTTGCAATTCCAAGCTTTACTAGGAGATCATCACAAATGGAAGGGCCGGCGCTTTTAAGCCTTTCCAGAGTGGTACAACCTAACATTGTACTATTGTTAACGTCTATGCAGTGTTTTTGTATTTGATAAAATTCCAGTTTATGGGTCTGTTACTTAAATTGGATTAAGTAGATCATATTTTAAATGTCTCAATGGTATTTCAAGCAACCCCAATGCAGTCAATTGAGGGTTTTATTTGCAATGGTAGGGCTTTTAATGGTCTGAACAGCTACTTATGAAGAAGGCAGGGTCAACAAAACATGCAACTTTAACATATGGTTTATATCCCGTCTTGCACTTGCACGTGAACTTCAGAGGACAGCTCGATCCTGTGCTAACCAGTACTGGAACAAGCTCTGCGATGACATCCAACAGGCTTCCGACACTGGTAACCTGCGGGAACTGTACAGGGGCCTGACCAAGGCTATTGGGCCGAGAGCAAAGAAGGTTTGTCCGCTGAAGTCTGCAGAAGGAGCACTGATCACTGACACAGGGCAACAGATGTCACGATGGGTTGAGCACTACTCAGAGCTCTATGGCAAACCAAGGAGCATCAGCCACGTGGCTTTGGCCTCAACACCCAGCTTTGACATCAATGCTGAGCTGGACAACTTGCCAACCATGGAAGAGCTAGTGAACGCGCTGAAGCAAACTGCTGAGGGCAAAGCTGCGGGCACGGACGGCATCCCGGCTGATCTCCTCAAATGTGACAGCTGCTTACTGCCGCACATGCACAAGCTGCTCTATCAATGCTGGCAAGCGGGCGCTTTCCCATCGGACATGAAGGACGCCAAGATAATCACGCTTTACAAGAACAAAGGCGACAAAGGGGACTGTAACAACTACCGTGGCATTTCGCTACTGAGCGTGCTTGGCAAGGTCTTCTCCAGAATTCTGCTGGTGCGGCTCCAGAAACTGTCCGCTCGCGTATACCCAGAGTCACAGTGCGGGTTTCGAAGTGGCCGATCAACAACAAACATGGTCTTCACGGTGCGCCAGGTGCAGGAAAAGTGCAGAGAGCAAAACAAACCACTGCACATGGCGTTTGTCGACCTGACGAAGGCGTTCGACATGGTGAGTCGGGAAGGACTGTTCGCCATCTTGCATAAACTGGGCTGCCCACCGACACTGCTCAGGCTGGTCAAATCGCTTCACGAGGACATGTCAGCAACGGTTTTCTTTGAAGGATCTACTTCAGACAGCTTTTCCGTTCGCAGTGGAGTCAAACAAGGCTGCGTGTTAGCGCCCATGCTCTTCGGCATCTTCTTCTCTGTTGTGCTGCATCATGCATCCAGCGAACACGTGGACGAAGGCGGCGTTTTCCTGCACGCGGTCAGATGGGAAGCTGTTTAATCTGGCCCGACTGCGCGCGAAAAGAAAGGTACGGAAGGTGCTAGTTCGTGAGCTCTTATTCGCGGACAACGCAGCTCTGGTGTCTCACAGCGCAGCTGGTCTACATCGCCTGATGGACAGATTCAGTGCAGCATGCTCTGAATTTGCACTGATCATCAACATCAAAAAGACAGTTGTTATGCACCAAGCAGGAAGCGCAGCGTCACCGGTAATGGTCAACGAGCATGTGCTGGAGACTGTTGACCAGTTCATGTATCTTGGCTCAACAATCAGCAGTGACCTGTCGTTAGTTAAGGAGATCCAGACTCGTATCGGCAAAGCCGCAACGTCTTTCAGTCGTTTGCGCTCAAGAGCCTGGAGCAACAAATACCTCACCGAGCGCACTAAGACACGCATCTACCAATGTTGCGTGGTCAGCGTCCTGCTGTATGGTTCTGAGGCGTGGTCAACTTACGCGCGGCACGAAAGAGAGCTAAATGCTTTTCACATGCGGTGCCTGCGCAACATCCTCGGGATCACATGGCGGGACAAGGTCACGAACGAGGCGGTGCTGGCGCGTACGGGCAGCAAGTCAATGTTCCCAACACTGAAGGTCAGGAGGCTGCGGTGGCTTGGTCACCTTCGCAGAATGCCAGATGGCCGCCTGATTATGTCCAAAGGACATCTTATACAGCAAGCTGAGCGCTGGTTCCAGAGGCAGAGGACGACCACTGCTGCGCTTCAAGGATGTCGTAAAACGTGACATGAAGGCCCTGGACATTGCGACGGATAACTGGGAGAGGCTGGCGGAGGACCGGACGAAGTGGCGCCAGCAGCTTCGCGAAGGTGGTGACAGACTTGACAAAGACTGGATTCGTGGACTTGCTCAAAAACGTGGACATACTATATCTCTCTGATTGCACTGTACAATCTCTTGTAGATTTTTCTTGCCAATAGTTGCAGCAACAGTCAACACTGGTAACATATAACCAAGCCAACATCCTTTACACCTTACCCCCTTACATTGACCAAACCAATCTTTTAACAACTATTCTTAACCATTGAGGTGATTGGATTAAAAAAAAAAGTTATGTTTTGAAACAGCAATATGGATTGTAATTAAATATACTGAGAAAGGCCCTGTTTAGTCGTTTGGTGTGAAGCTTACTGTGAAGGCCTTCAAAAACTTGGAGCGTGATGAATAAACGACAGAAGAATGCAAATTCATTGCCAGTGGCTATTATGTGTCTAGAGCTTTTATTGCGGAAGTTATAAACAGAAGCAGTTAAACTGTTCTTTGCTTCCATTGTCAAGTTTGAAAAGGGGAGTAAAGTAAGACTCTGGACTACAGAGCCACCATATCATTGATTTATGATAATCCTTAACTTAACCTGTTCTGCTAACACAATTGATAAATATCGATATGCATATTTATCAAATTAGCCCCTGATGTGTAATGGCCCTCATAGGCAACCGCTATTCCTTTATAAAAGTGCCTTGTCGGATTCTTCAATGTAATGTGTACGTTTTGTTGAAAGGACAGTTCTTTCAAACACAATAATCCTTCTTCATTTCACTCACTTTTTATGAGTACAGTTGTCCTGTATCTGGAAATGTTATGCCCTGAGTCAATTCTCCAATGGATCTCCAATTTTGGCAGCTGACATGAATGCTAAGAGATTTGTCACTCAAAAGCAAAAGCCTGTATATCCGGCTGTAAACTTTAAGATATGAACTAGTTCTTAAATTGGACATCTGTCACCATCTCTGTCCAGCCCCCTTTCTCTGTCTATCAAACTCCCTATCGCTTTGTCAATTGAACTAACTACAGTTACCCTGTCTTTATCTTAGGCAGTTTATCTCTATCTTCTCTATCTCTGCCAATGACCTGGGTCCCTGCAGCAGAACAGAGTCTCTTAGGGGCTATAGGGCCGATTCAAAAGAGTGATGCATTATTTACCCCAGATTACCCTCAGATGTTCAGTGGTGCTTTCACTGTCCTCTTCAAAGTCTTGGCACAAGCAAAGATAAGGGACAAAGGGAATATAATGCAATCTAGGAAAGAGCAGGGTAAACAATGAGGATGGCAGGGGAGTTACTTCTGATTAAAGCCTTGCATGAATCTTGTGGATGAGCTCATTCATTCTATTTTCCTGTGAAAAGATATTGACCACATCAATCAAAAACTTACACACTCATGAGTCATGACTCATGCCCCTTTCACACCAACGCGGTTCCAGGGCCGGTTCGGAGCTAGAGCCTGATAAGCACCGGTTTTTCCTGTTCACACCGCAGTGGAGCTGGCTTTAAGCACCAAAAAATTCTCGGTCTAGAAGCAAGAACCGCATACGTCACGCTTACGTCGGAGGGGGGTGAGATTAACCTGAGCTAACAGTTTATGGCCGAGAGGCAAATAAAGTTTTAACAGGCAGTAGCGCTGAGCAAAGTGACTAGAAGGCAACCACACACTTGTAAAAAAAAAACCACTTTATAAAGTCAGGCAACACTAACCAGGCTTCGTGTGATTCTGTTTATTTGTACCTTACTTTGACCATCCGTTTGCTGTTATTGATCATTGTGGAGAGAGGCAGACGTTTTGTTTTGTATTATAGCAGCTATCGGATGGAATCAATACATGGGCTGCAAAGGTTGTCATGTCCGACTATCCCAAGAAGGATCATAATGAAACATACGCCGGTAAAATGTGCCTGTAGAAAACTGTTTATGCCACAATAGGATAGCAACAATAAGTAGTCAGTTTAGGTTGCTATGCTAACATCACCCATTTTATACCAGATAAACTTTTCATAACAGCGTTGTGATGCCAGTAAATGCATTAATAAACAATGAACCACGGCACTCAGGAGAAAAGCATAAGGTTGGAGAAGTAGTTATTTAATTTAATATGGCTTCGAATAATTAAAAGTAACACGATCATCGACCCAACACAGTCCCCCGTTGTGGTGAGCGGCGTTGGGGAGAAAATCAGCGACGTAAACGGTGACATCATGACGCAGCGGCGGCAGCACTAGTCGGATCTGGGCGGTGTGAACAAAACGGGGGCTGAAAAGACAAAACCGGTTCCGAACCAGAAGAGCACAAGCACGGAGCTAGAATGGGAACCGCGTTGGTGTGAGAGGGGCATTAGTGCAAACAAGGTATTAGTCGTATAGAAAATAGTAAGTAATTAGTAAGTAATTTGCCTTCACCTGTACTTATTGGTCCTCAGCTAACTATATTTTCTACTCTTTAGTTCTGTTTTATTTCTAAATTCTTCTAAATTCTTTTAATTTATAATTATGTTCAAGGCCTTGTTTTTGTTTATGCTGCTGTAACATACTTGGGATCAATAAAGTATATCTTATCTTACACTGATTATCGGGTGCAGATGACCATGATGTTCATAAAACAGTTAGTTTGTATTAAAATAATTAGCGGAATAGCCAGAAGGCAAAACACTGAGGGGCATATTACAAAGAATGGATTGCACCATGAATTGTGCATGAACTTTTTTCCCATTTGAAGTTCCTTTTCACAGCATTAATGAAATTCTAGAACAAACATTCTAGGATAATTTGGCTTTCTTTTGCAGAGGGGGAAGGGAGAAGCAATTTTGAAATTAATATAAAAATCTTGCTTTTCAATCTTTTTCTTTACCGTAATTTTCTCCTTCATGTATTTTCAGAAATAACATATTTCTTTATTCATTTATTTTAAAAGTCACAACTGCCATTGCTTCCTTTCACTGTATCCTAAAATAAATGAGTTTTTAGCGAAGCATAACGATGCCTTCACCTGGCTTCAATCAATGCTGCCATGATCACTGGAAAGTCTGGGTGCAACACTCCCTATAATGGCCTTCATTTACCACCAACCTTTTGAATTATACTATACTATATTTGGCTATAAGTGCTGATATTTGTGAATAAGAATGTTGTAATAAAGCTAATTTGCATAGCAATGTTGTGTCAAAGTGAGCATATAAGCTAATTTAGAATCATGCTAATTTCACAGGAGCACCAAGTGGCTATGGCAGTACAGATAGTCTGCATTGCCATTTACATGGACTCTTTTCGTCTTACTTGTGCAGGTTTGCTGCAAAAGCTACAAAAAAATAAGTTTTGTGATTTGTCCCTTTTTCTGCTGGAGCACTCTATGTGGATATTAATAGGTCATATTAAGTACTAATCAATGAGGAGGTTTGAGAGCAACTGCGAGTAGTGAATGAGTGTGAGAGCATGAAGTAAGTGGAGTGTGATCATATTAAAGAGCCTGTGACACGATTTTCCCCCATCATCCAAACCCATCAATTTGAGTAAATATTGTCCCCTTTAAAACCGTTACTGAATTGATTTTGGATATTTGTACTTTGATAACCATTAATCTGCCCTTCAATGTTGACCATTTCCTGGATCTTCTCGGGGATTCTTCAAGTCCCGCCAAATTATGGGTGACGTCAATGCGGGCACAGCGCTCCAGCTGCACCGTTCAGGATCCCAGCATCTGCATGTAAACGCACGATGGCGCACACAGCAGCAAGCTCAGACAGCGATGACAGTTTAATTTTGAACGTGTCTGAGAGCTCATATGAGGCTGAAGGATCGGTTTATTTTGTATCTGTTAGAAGTTTAGGAATTAGGTGCGTCAATATGGGCGATCATACGGTCATGTAGCCAGTGGTGGACTGGGACTAAAAATCAGCCCGGGACTCTCGACCGGCCCACTTCGGTACCACTAGTAAATTGTCAACGGGGGGAGTGGGGGATGTGCTAGTGACTTATGCGACGGCCACTTTCGGTACCGGGCCAATCGGGATTTCGTCCCGATGGCCAAGTCGCCACTGCACCCAGCCCAGCACGTAAACTGTCAACCGGGGGAGCCTCGCCTGCGGGAAACGGTGGGACGGAGTGGGAATTAAAGTAATAATAATAATAATAATAATGATCCGGCATTTTATCCATTAATTTCCCACATTGTGTGGTAAAAAAAAACACACGTTTAATCCCATGTTGGTGTATCTACTACAACCAGTTGGTGTAGTGGGGATGTGTTTTTAACTGGGTGGAACGGGGTGTGGGTGGACGGGAGAACACTATGGACCGCGCTCCGTGAACTGTCCACGGGGGGGGGGGGCTTGGGACACTCTGTGTTTCGCCTGTCCAGCGCAAACTTGACATTGACTGCCATTTAGACAATATACTATAATAAAGGGTGGTGCGGCCTGTCAGCGAACCGATCCCGGCTTTCTGCGCGACTATCACTCAAAATGCGGCGACATAGTCTCAATGTGCTGGGGACGCACGTGGACAAATAATAAAAATGCTCGTGGTGTGGCAGTCCCGCACAGTGCGGGACACTGGTCAACCCTACACGACACAGTTCTTGCCCTTCACACACACACGCTTCTCAAATCAAGTTGCATTAAATGCTTGAGCCTACGTTTTTATTATAAATTACTGTGAAATCTGCCCTATTAATGTTTTCGTCATTATTACAACAACACACCACTTGCAACCTGATACACACTGGCAATGATTTTAAGATGTATAAGACTATTAAAAAAAGAAATCATGCTTCAAATAAGTGGGTACGGCGTACCCGCGTCCAAACGCACACTACATCACTGACTGCACTACAAAAAGCCTAAGTCTTGTTTTCTGCATACAGGAAATGCAGACCGGCTCAAACAAAAAGATTTTTAAATCATCATCCTCACCGATCATTTAATGTATCATAATGATTCGCCGAATTGACAATGAAAGC